GGCTTCTTGAAGCGGTGTATACGCCGCGGCGGGAACAGCTCCTCCTCATCCTGCTGCTGCTGCTCCTGTTCGTCGGTAGCGAGTTCATCCTCAGAATTGAGCACGATGGTCCAGCCAGGCGGAAAAGGCGAGTGCGTGTGGATATCGCTCGATTTGAAGAAGAGGCCGCCAAACACGGGCGTGACGGTAAGGTTTTGGCCGTTTGGCAGATGAACGACATTGACTGGCGCCATGATGACGTTGGCGGGGTAGCTCAATTATGTTAGAAGAAAGACGGAGCGCGAAGTAAGGTTGAACTGATTACGTCCTAGATGCAGGGTAAACCTCAATCACCTCATATGGGGTGAGATCTATGGTACTCGGATCAAGTGTCTCTTTTGTGCGGCACGCGATAGTCAAAAACTGCACAGCTGTCACCCACGTCTTGATTGACTAGTTTCTGTCTGAGAACGCCCGCGCGGGGCTTTCGCGGGGCATTAGTAGACAGTAGAGCTTCTTGTGCTTTTTGAGATACTCTCACATGAGAATGCACATGTCCTGAAACAGATGCTGCATACATCATGCGAACGTTAGGCGACATGCAGGCGTCATCATTGGCCGGGGGGCGCATGGCCGTGAGGGAGTGGAGGAGCTCTGAGCTCGGCGGTCGGCATGTTCGCATATGACGAAATGGGCAGTTAATAAATCCGAAGCTTCCCCAGAGTTCCACGACCTCTCTACACCAACAACACTACATCACACAATCAATTGAACGTACCACATCAATTGAAGCCATCATGAACACCGCACTCCTCCGCACATCTGCCCTGCGCTCCGCAGCCCGAGCCGCAGCTCCCACCACATCTCGCGCCGGCTTCGCAGGCACGACGTTCGTTCGCGGCAAGGCCACGCTACCCGACCTCCCATGTACGACTCCATGCCACCACTTGAAGCAATCGCATACTAACATTTCACAGATGACTACGGCGCGCTCGAACCCTCCATCTCCGGCAAGATCATGGAACTGCACCACAAGAACCACCACAACACCTACGTAACCTCCTTCAACAACTTCAGCGAGCAAATCGCCGAAGCCAAGCAAAAAGAAGACATCAAAGCGCAAATCGCCCTGCAGCCCTTGATCAACTTCCACGGCGGCGGCCACATCAACCACAGCCTCTTCTGGGAGAACCTCGCGCCTACCAACCAGGGCGGCGGCGAGCCCCCATCTGGCGCCCTGTCTGCTGCTATTAACAACAGCTACGGCAGCCTCGACGCGTTCAAGGAGAAGTTCAACACCGCGCTCGCGGGTATTCAGGGAAGCGGCTGGGCGTGGTTGGTGCAGGATACCCAGACCGGTGCCATTCAGATTAGGACATATGCGAACCAGGATCCGGTCGTTGGACAGTTCCGTCCTATTCTGGGTGTTGATGCTTGGGAGCATGCTTACTAGTAAGTCTACCATAGGATTTTGATGAAGACCGTCTGACTAACAATTACTAGCCTCGACTACCAGAACCGCAAGGCCGAGTACTTCAAGGCCATCTGGAACGTCATCAACTGGAAGGCCGCTGAGAAGCGCTTCCAGTAAGCGTGAACGGCTTTCGCGGCAGGACGAGGCTCCTAACTCGCCGTTGGCTAGCAATTGATCAAGCTTGATCTTCATAGCGTGTATAGTGTAGTAATGCAAGCGAATGGATTTAGTCACATCATCTCTTCAACATATCTGGAGAATGATATCGAGCGTGCATTATGCTAGAACTGACCCCCATCTATCTGAAGAACATGCATGCTCAGTATAACTGACGAAAGCTGTAGTAATATTTCACTCGATATATGCTGCTTGACGAATATCCTTGGGATGTGGTACGCCCAATCTGAGCAGTTCCCCCTTCATCCTGCAAACTAACTCTGAGAGTGGGTATCGTTCCCGTAAACACCGTACAGAAAACACAAACAAGAACAGAAAAACACATCCAACAAGACCAAAGTCTGGAAATGAAGTACAAGGCAATACACAAAGAATACAACAGACATTACTAAAACCGCCTTACTTCTCACCCGTAGGCGCCTCAACAGCCCTGCTCGTTCCATCCACCTCCACAATCTCAATTCCCCTCCTCATCCCCGGCCACTCTCCACCCGAGCCCCGCTGCTGCCACACCTTGTCAACCTCACTACTTGGGCTTCCTGGCGACGACAAGCCCGTTGACGAGAACCCCGGAGAAGGAAATCCCATGGCATTATACTCGACCATACCACCCCTGCTATCCCTTTGATGAAAAGCACCAGTAGAGTGCGCGGTATTCCTCGCCTCAGTCCGCCGCCTCCGCCAAGCGAGAAACACGACGAAACCGATGAAAGAAAGGAAGAGACACGCGCCGATTGTGCCGCCTACTATAGCACCTAGGCTGGGTTTTGAAGAGCTGGAAGAAGAGGCAGAATCGGACTGAGACGTAGGTGAGCTGACTGGTTCCTTGGTGACGGTAGCGTAGACTGTTTCTTTCTCTGGGGCGCTGCTCGATAGACTCATACCCAGGCTGTGGTATGCGGTGCTGGTGAAGGGGCTGGCTGCGCAGCCGTGCTGCGTGAGGACTATTCTGTCGTAGACGACGTGGTATGCGTAACAGGCTGGCGCGGAACTTTCTGTGCATTTCAAGATGAAGGCGTTTGTTGAACAGGCGGCGTCTGTGCAAGAGGCTGATAGGGCGGTGGATGGCATGCAGGTTGTGGCTAGGTTGCAGTCGGTCGTTCGGGATGAAGGGCAGCAGCCGAGTGCGCCGAAGACCTTGTTTGAAGAGCATTCATCTGTAGGGTTGGGACATGTTATTGCGCTGACTATTAGATGTTAGTGAGGTTCAGAAGTAGATGGAGGATGAGGTTACCTGAGATGCCAGAGCCAGAGACATATCCACAAGTATTAGCTCCGCCGTCCTGCCGTCTGGAGAGATCGAACGGTAACTGTGGAGCTGCCGTAGGTGCTGGACTCCAACCGTCCATCGATGAAGTATATCGTGTAGCCTCAGGCAACGAGAATGCAGCCGCATGAGCCATCGTCGATCCTAACAAGGCAAGAAGAAGAAGAGTAACCGCCATCTCGTTTCCATGTGCGCAGCTCTTTAACTAAATAAACAGACCACCCTCGAAACCAAGTAATCAAGTATGACGACGAACAGACACCAGAAAACGTCGTGCACGTCGAGTAGTATGAGGTGCAAAAGGCGAAGATCGCTACGCAATGCAGCAGACTATAAGAAGCCCACAACATCTTACGCGGCTGAGTGCATGTGGGAGGGAACCCAGCACCCTAGCAACACATTTGCGGCAGGGTAAGCTCCAGAGCTTCCCTGGCTTTAGAAATCGGGCCATGGCCCTGGCGATCCAATCGAAAGCGGTCTCGCCTGGCGATGATGCGGGTTTGCTGGGGTAGCTTCAGGTAAGGCGTCGCATTACACTCTTCACCTCTTCGCCCATCAGTCCAATCACGCCTTGCATTTTCCGCCCTGGACAAAACGTGTACGTGGTGGGCCAGTGAGGAGGTTGGGCAAGGTCTGGTGTGCGGCCGGATGAAGGTTGGTGTAGGATCAGGTCGGCTTGGGGCGCAGCAGCGCATTGGTAGGTGGGCTGGTGGGGTGTAGAGTGAGTGGGTCTGAGCCTGCATGTGGCGTTGGGCGAAAGAAGGTAAATATAGCCCAAGTGAGCACGATGCACAGCATAATTATGCGGGATGACGAGCGGGGTATAACACTGCAGTAATCCCTTAGTTCGTTGTCTTTAGCTATTGGGCGATGAGATGAAGAGTTGACCTTTAGGCCTGCGATGAAATATACAAAGATGCGTTGCACGTGGATGCACGTGGGGAGATGCTTGCACTGCCTTTTTCGGCAGATTGTGGTCCTCAAGATGGCTCGCTGTTGCATCTTTGAGTGGTAGTCGACCTGGGAAATGAAGCCAACAGACAAAGCAGAGCGGTCGTACGCGAAGGGTCGTCCTGCAGTTAGGCTAAGACATCTGACGGCCAAGGCCAGTTCGTGGTCTGAGGCCTCCCTTGCGTGAGCTTTGATGTGTACGTAATGGCCTGATAGATGTTTGTTTTCGATTCAAGATGGCATGCCCGTCTCTTCCTAGATTCGTCTATATACAACGATCGTAACCATAACGCCTGTCGATGAATCCACCGACTTGAACTCCCCCATGATGCTGTTTCGTCCGGGTGGCCGTCGTAAGGGTATACATAATGTACAAAGGAATGCGTGGGGGATCTAGTCCCGCTTGTGAGGACCGACGATCTTGGGGTACATTCTTGAGAGGTGGTAATTGATGTTGTTCTTCTTCTGGTTGGGGTTTCGCTATGAAGGGTTAGACGCGTTTGTGAGTTGATAGGAGGTGAACGTACTGGCGCATCCATGCATTGCCGTAGTTTCTGTTCAAGCTGTGCGCAGCCTTGCACACTGTAGCCGGAAGATGCCCAGCATCCTGTAGCCATGTCAGCCCATGTTCGTTGTAGCCATCCCACTGCATTCCACGATCGTCTTGCACCCCCAAAGAATTTATTCCCAGCCTCTTCACATACCCAGAACTGATGACATTGCTCCTAAGCATGGGTTCGCCTCTGGCTTGTTCGGTCGGCGAACGCGGAGTTTTGGCAGTGGTGGGAGGGGTCGGTGCGTGGCCGACTGGACGGCGGTGCCTGAGGGCTTTGGTACCATCTTGTAGATGCGTTTCGGGAGATGAATGCGATTTGGATGCGACGTGGGTGCTGGTGCTGCACAGACTGCGAGAGGCGATGGCGTCGTCGTCGTCGACTCGGTGGATTCAAAAGTTTCCGCCGCGGCAATCTCCTTAGCGTGCCTGCCCCATCCTAATCCCTGTCCGGCTTTGTTTACGATCGCACCTTCCTAGCGACGGAGGCCAACACAGACGACACCCTCGTCACGACGATACTAACGACCCTACGACACAGTTCCCATGTTTGCGCGCCATCGATCTATTCATTACTGTAATAATACACGGCCGACGTCATGGTTTTCACTCCACGCAAGCGCGCCGCGCCCACAGCAACGTTCGACAACACCTGGAACGAAACCAATGCGGCATTCCTCGATCCGAATGCTCTACAAGTTTCCAAAATACCGCGAGGATGGGAGAGGAAACAAGAAGTAAAGAGGGTGGGAGAGGGCAAGGAGAAGAAGATCTGGCGCAGATTCAATCTCAGGTCGCGTGCCGACGACACACCACAGGAGGCAGAAGATGAGGAGGAACGAGACGCGCGTTCAAGACCAGTTAAGAGGCGGCAGCACATGAGCCCAAAAGCGATGGAGAAATCAACGAGCAAGCTTGGCGGCAAGAAGCGCGCGTTCAAGGCGACGCGCTGGGACCGCAGGAAGAGCGTTTTGCCAAGTACGTTACCGACGCGCATGGCTGAGACATTTGCTGACTATGTACAGGAAAGAGAGCGACCCAGACCGAGGACCCCGCGATCGGCGCAAACGACGAAGTCGACAGTGAAGAGGAGGGAGATAGTGCTCAAACCCTGGAACGCGAGGATAGTATCAACGAGACAGACACGAATATAATCGAACAGACAGAATTATCAGAAGATCTATCTTCTACGTACGAAGACAGCTCGACCTTCACTTTCGCAGTAGACGCGCCGACAGCCGAAACCCTCGACTACGAGATCACAGATCGAGACCAAGAAGAAGAGAGAGCAGAGTCCACGCAAGACGCAACGCTTGCGAAGCTATTCCGCTCGCCACTCAAGGAACAGTCGAATGATTTGAGCGCAACGCCGGAGAAGGTCGAATACCCAGAGCTTCCTCTGAGCGATAACTTAGAAGTTGGAGCGGAAACGGCTATGACTGAGATCGTATCCACCGAAAGCATCAGCGATGTTGCAGAGGAGATCACTACAGCAGAAATGACCTCCGTGGGTGGAGAACCACAAGAGGATGTTGAGATCCAAGCTGAGGTGGTCAGCCAACAAGACGAACCGACGCGTGAAGATACCGAGCCGATGTCAGAGACACCCGAGACTGTGACAGAGCTCCAGTACCCAGCGTTGCCGTTAGAAGATACCACAACTTCACCGCCACCAACGCTTGACGAAGATGTTAGCGACGAAGATGAGGAGGACGTGGAATTATCTGAGGTTGAGCTCGGTACATCGACAGACGCAGTTCGGAAGGAAGATGTACTCAACTCCCCTGAAGCGGCCGACCGTGAAGACGAGTTCACGGAAGCTTCCTTGCAGCTGAACATATTGCGGGATTATCAAGCAGCGCTCCAAGAACACAATCTTGCGCCCACACCAGTTCAGTCAGAGTCCAACGAGCTTGAGCAAGAAGAAACGGACCATGATATGCGGCCTGAGCAAGAACCAGCCTCCTTTGAGGCTCTTCAGTCTCCTGCACAGGACTTTGCCATGGCCGACGCGCCTCACTCAGCATCTATAGACATCGCCGATGGATTGACATTCTCGTTCACACCCAGCAAACCACAGTCGCCTACCCCACGCAGACTACACTCGCCTCCGCCTCCACCACGTCCTGAGTCTGGACCTGACGATGTCACAATGACGGTTGCTATCGATGATGACACCGCCATTCTCAAGGACTTTCTCACCCGTGCTGCCGCAAGTAAGGCTGAGAAGGCCGCCGTCACTACACACAAGAGAGAATCCCTACAGAACCGACGAGACTCAGATATCATCAAACACGCCCTAGCCTCGCCCCGCAAGGTACTTGAAGAGAAGGACCCCAATTCGCCCACGAAGCCGCACACCGAGTTGACGCTGGATCTTTCGCAAACGCTCACATTAGCCAAGCCAGATGAAAAGCTTCCATCACCTATACCCGGCGCAACAGTGGCCGAGACCGCAGAAGAGAAGAGCGAACAAGGATCAAGACGTTCTGCACGAGCAAAGAAGACAAGATTGCCCACTCCCGCATCAATCGGACCAGCACCAGCACCCAAGATCAACATCCGCCGTGCCGACGGTAACGAAGTCGTCGTACTCAAGAAGGACGACGCCAAAGTCCTCGCCGACATGACCCGGAACAACACGCGCAAGAACAAACAAGGCGCTTTCTGCGTCACCGTTCGACTAATGAAGCTCGCCATGGATTACTCCACTCTCCCTCCCCTCGACGATTCCACCAAAGAACTCATCGTCGGCAAGAACGTCCGCTGGGACGAAACATTAGCATACTACCAAGAAAACCCCGAAACCCTCGCCAACGCCCTAGCAGACGCAGAGTCTCTAGCCACTCCAGACGAACTCGGCATGTCAGACTGCACTCCCGAGCCCAAGAAGAAGAAAGAAAAGACCAGCAAGAACTCCACGCCTAAGATACGCAGAGTACGTGGTCTGGGCACAGCGAATGGTACACCTGGAAAGGGACTCCTGGCACCTTCTAGTCTCCTCCCTGAAGCTGTTCAAGAAGAAAAGGCTGCAACACAAGAGAAACAATCATCGAAGCCCAAATCGACCAAAGTCAAGAAAATGGCCGTTGCCTCCAACTCTTCTTCTTCTACCCCCATAGCTACTCTCACGCCTACGTCAACATCAACATCCCTAAACAGCAGTCTCTCCTCCAGCACAACAGACACCAAACTTCCCTCTCTCGACGTAGCACCAGTAGGCGTCCAACGCAAGAGCCGGCTTGCTGCGCCGAAAAAGGTCGTTTTGCCACAGACACCTTCGTCTGCCAAGGCAGGCGATAAGGAGAATGTGAGTAGAGTGGGGATGGGTGACGCGACGCCTAAGAAGGGGTTGATGGCGCCCAAGGTGGTTATTCCGCCCAGTGCAACGACGGCGGGTGTGGGGATGGGGGTAGAGTCTGGATTACCGAGACGGAGAGGAAGGAAGTATTAGCTAGGGCAGTGAAGAAGGTGCGATGTCTTGAGTCTATTTTTCAGGGTGTTTTATACCACTTTGCCTTTCTGGGATAGTTTGTGCATATACCGGTGTTTTTAGCGGTGGCGTTTGGTGGGCATGGGCATTTACTTGGAAGCTTTACTGTCAAAGAATAGCTTATTTTAAGGCTATACCATACAGGAATGCAATATGACCTCGATATACATCCATAAATCGCCATTCCTTTTGACCACACATCCTCTCCCTCTAACCAGCCTACCACATGAAATCCTCTCTATCACCAACCTCCAGTCCACTCATCCCCATTCCATCCCCATTCCCACCCACATCCTCCCCGGCGGGCACCAGACTCCCAACCTTTAAATCCCTCTCACCGTAATGCATCTCCCTCTTGAACCGACACTTCTTAGCCCCCCACCCGTCCCCCTCACTACACCCCTCCCTCTGACAATGATGTCCATAAAAGCAATCGCCCCTCCTACAAGCCCCTTTCATCGGACAAGGATTACACTTGACCACATACTCCAATACCTGTCTTGCTTCGGGCTCCAGTTCGCTGTGGTCGAAAGGACAATTTGGGGTGGTACAGCGCTGTTGCAGGTGGAATGTGTTGCAGGGCTTTGCTTTGGCGAAGCGCGCGTTGTAGATTTTCCAGGCGGAGGGAGGGGGCATGGGGAGGTAAGGGTCCAGGCGTTGATGGGATGTGTTCAAGGGAACGAAGCCGGGGATTGAGGCGGCGGGGAGGAGGGCGGAAATCGGGGTTTGGGAGGAGGACTGGTGTTGGGATGATTGAGATGAGAGTGGGAGAGAGGGGTATGGCGCCCCTGAGGGCCCTTTTGGTGGCTGGGAAGAGCCGGATCCGTTTGTCTTCGAGTGGGTACTGGGGATGTGGAGGAAGTTACATTTGGCGCCGAAGCGGCAATTTCCTTTCTGGAAGTATTTGCATAGCTGCGAGTTATTTTCTGGTTTCGAAGAACCGTTTTTGGCTGTTTGGGTGTATGCAGAGCGGTCTTCCCAACCTACGCGTTCTTGGTCGAAGAAACTGTTGGATTCTACCGGGGATAGATCGCCGAAGGCAGAGTCGCTCATGCTGAAGGAGTCGTCTCGCCTCCATGACTCTTTGCGCGGAGTTGGTGTGCCGGGTGTGAGTATTGGTTTCTGTACTGCAGCTAATGCCTTTTGTTTGGGCAGTGTAGCTGCACCACCTTTTGCAGAAGATACAGTAACGGGAAGTTCCGACCATCTAAAGACAGTGGGGAACTGCGTGACATTCAAATTGAACTGGTGGAACTCCGAGTTCCATCCGGCGCCTTGGACAAGGGTAATCTTGTCTCTCACGCCGCTGAAGGGTACGAGTTGAGATAAGTAAGCCGGATCGTGGCAAGCAGCGTACAAAATATGGCTGCACGCACTATCCTCGGAGGCAATCTTGAAGTGTTCTCGGATCTTAAATTTGGTGCCTTCTTCATCTAAAGCATCAACGAAGTCGAAGAGGCTGATGGCTCGGGTAAACGCAGCCGAGAAGGGAGAGAGCGAACGCTTTTCCAAACCGACGAGCTTGGACCTAGCTAGTTGCTTGGATAGATTGGTCAAGTCTGCGTAGATTTTCACGTGTATGCGAGCGGACCGGCTTTGTGGGACGCTTTGCTGGAGGTATTTCTCAACGGCGTCGTTGAGCATACGAGCTGCGCGCATTCCGCCTTCTTCCTTGTCGCGAATGAACTCATCGTTGAACTGAAAACTATGAGCACGAATTTTGCGATGTTACGATGATACTGACGATATAGTTGTTGCCGTCTATCAAGACCAACACATATGGGTGGCGAGCCGTCGTTGCCGTAGCTATGGTTGGTATAGGTATACCTGGAGGCGCAGCGATGTTGCTTTTGCCTTTCTGTTCATAGGCTCTCTTTAGGTCTTTGTATTCATCGAGTAGTTGGCCATATTCTCTAAGGAGGTTCTAGGCGGGGTTAGCGGAATGCGGATTGATTAGGCAGTGAGGACCTCGGAACATCTAGGTATTGACCTACTGTTAGATCATTTTGCCTGGCCTGATCATTGAGTTTGAACTGCTCCAAATGCGTATCTAGCGAGTCGATCTTTCCGTCGGCTAGCATCTTGATGGTAGCGCGTCGTCGGTGTTGAAGAACGCGTCGGTGCCTTGACGGGAAAGTCAGCCAATTGCTTCGGGCAAGAGATGCCTACGGAAGATAACCCACGGCAATTGCGAGTCAAATCCCGGAGGTATCTAGGATATTCCCATATTCGCAAACAGTTAGCAGGTTGTTTCCGAGGAAAACGCGTTGACAGCAAGCCATTCCGCGACGTGGGGCGGGGCTCCTGCTCCGCGTGTGCTAGCGCGGGTGCCTTAGCGTCAGGAGTCAGCTCCGCCTCCTTCACTACCTAGGTACCTACACATCACGACTGCGGCGACCTGTATACTCCGCTTTTGCGACCCTGACGTACCTGGTATGTGGATTGCTTACGGATGTTCGAACCCAGTGACGTCAGCAGCAGGTTACAGCCAAATCGGCCTGCCGGTACTTGAAGCTTGCCAACGTTTAAAAAGTTCATAATATTGGAAAGATTTCATGTCTTCACGATAACATCACCTAAAGAACGAAAGCGCGCCGATTATGAAGTATCTTAATGCGTTTTGATCATCCACAAGATTGGTATGAAGTAAAAAACATGCTCGAATGCACGTGGTCTCTATCCCTTGAGTGCGAGAAAGCGCCCACATGAATGTCGCACTTGCGCTATCATGGGACTAATCCGGCTGATCAAGATGAAACATATTTAATTTCACTATCTCAATGTCTACAAATTGTCAATTTCCCTTACTTTCAAGCAGTCTCCACGGTAATAAGCCTACATTAAGTTGAGTCAACTGAAGCTTTGAAATTTCCACTTCCAACATCATCCCTTCTACACGGTTGCAAGAGTTTCTATACAACCCGCAGATGCGCCGCCCTACCTTCTGAATCGAAACGACATGTGCAGTCATTGTCGAGTTGTACTGTCCAACTAAGGACCTCACGATCACAGACTGTATGCTCGGACCCATTATATCTGGAGAAACATGACTAACATGGAGCACAGTCCTCATTACTCCCACATCCGCATACAAAGATATTATCGAAAGCATTAAACACCGATTCAGAGGCGAACTTAAAGAGGTTTGGCCCTGCGACGTCAACGGCGAACCAATTGGTCCCAGCGAGCCTGGTGAGCTTTTTGATGGCGTCGAGATCCCCGCTGACTCGGTAAGTAACTTCGGCAACATTCAGGATGGTGAGCGTATCATAGTGCGTGTTAGTAAGAACGAGCGCGTCTTCCTGGAGACAAAGCACGAGACCATACTGTATTCGGGCGATGAGCTGGGTCACAACCAATTCAAGGTATGTGTGTCACTAACTAATCTTCCACCTCTATCCCTACTACTATTGCATTTCGAATGATGTGCCTGTCCGCCAAAGAAAATCGGCACACCCTAACTCTTCCAGGGAATGGGGGGCATAGACCGTCGCGATCATATCCGGGCCTTTCGCCGTCAAGAGGCCGCTCAGCGCAAGAACATCATCCGCCTCACTTCTTCTCCTCGAACCATCGCCTATGAACTGTCCATACGCCGCTACTCGCCGGTGTACGCTTTGAAGATGATTTTGGAAGAATGGAAGATTGTCCCAGTTAATCCTGTCGACCAAAACTGTCTAGGTGCTCTGGCGATCCTCAGCAAGGCAACGTGCGGCCAGCAGTGGGCGGTCGAGTGTCTTCTCATGGACGAGATGACTAAGCGAAAGGCCGCTTATGATATTCTGCAAGAGAGCGATGTCGTTCAAGTCATCAAGAACCTTTACAAAGAGGCCTTCGCTAGTGGATCTGTCTGGGAAGGCCACCCGAATCTTTGGGAGCGGACAGAGAATCTGCTGGATTATTGAGAGATCCTGGGTGGTTTAGGAAGGCGAACATTTGGGCGTCTCCTGGGCTTGAGGTCCAGCTTTGTGTGCACGACTAGCAACAATATGGATAGGTACGCTGTTGAGAGTCGATGCATGTAGTAGGTCTGGAAATGCAAAGGTCATGACCCAGTCTATCTCGCAGATTAAGCCCCTAGAGGAGGGATCATCTTGAGATCTGCAAACTCTCCAAGCACCTCCCTGATAGCGTCGTTTGAATCCACAAACCCATGCCATCCCATCTTCCGCGCCTTGTTCATCGTGAGGTCCAACGAAGAGCCCATCAAGCCTCCATCGGTGAAGCCGAAGATGCGATCAATATCCATATCTTGAAGCTTGTCTACCTTGAGACCATGCTTAGAAATGACTTCTTCCCATGCCTTCTGTACCTTCTCTTGCTTTGCCCAATCAGTCAGCGTAAAACGCACGCGTAGCTTTGCTGGTGGCCCGAAACCTCGCGGAGGCGGATCGTGCTTTGTGGTAATGACCGTGTACGCACTATCGTCCAGGCTGGGAGTCTCATAGCCGATGCCATACCATCCCGCATACTTCGGCCAGAAATTGCCCCACGTAAAGGTTGTACCATCCATCGTATTGAACTTTTCGTTCTTTGCCCCATCATTCAGCACAGCCCATTGCTCCATGTACGCATTCATCTTGCTGCTCGACATGCATCTGTTCGCCTCCCAAGCTTGCAGGTCAGTTGGAAACTCAAGCTTCTCGCCTAAGTGTTTCTGCACACTTGCGTAGACGCCGAGCGGAAAGACAAGGTTCATTGCAGCGTCTGGAACAGCGCCGAGGATACCCGCTGGCATGCATATGTTCCAGTCGATACCCTGCTTTTTGCAGAAGTCCCAGAGAAAGTCTTCTTGTGGGTAGTAAAAGTTGGGTTCGAGAGTGACGCGTGGTGCTGTTTCTTCCTGGGGAGTCGCTGCAGGGCCAAGATGGATGCCGTAATTCTTTGCGCCGGTCTGGAGCATGATGCGCTTTGGCTTGATGTTGGCTATGGGGAGAGCTTCACAGAAGTTCTTGAGAAGGGCGGCTGCGGCAGGTCAGTTTCATAACATGGGAAGTTGTAGATCAGGCAGCACGTACTGTTCACCTTGCACATCTCCTCGGCGTCGCTCCACAAGCCACCACCCTCTTTCGGCTTGACTTGAACGTACGAGTAGAAAAACACGTAGTCAGCCTTGACACCCTTCTCCTTCAGCACTTTCGCGATGTCTTCTGAGTCCTGCAGGAAGTCGAGAGGTATGTGCTCGGCATTCTTCGGTAGTCCATCGGGAATCGCGGGTGGTCGCCGTGACAAACAGTAAATCTTCGTCCATCGCTCGGGATCCTGCGCTAGCACACGCAGCATATAGTTACCAGAGATACCATTTGCCCCGGTTACAATGGCTGTAAGCCCTTTCAACGACGAGGGGTATACTGGTAGGCCATGGAAGATGCCTTTGCTTTCGACCAGCTGCTGGTTGGACATTTTGGATGAAGCGGTGTAGACGAAATGTGACGATAAACAGAAATAACGATACTGGGTTGCACAACAGTAGAATAGATGTTATACTCACTGATACAGCACCTGGGCATGTTCGACAAATTGATGTCCACCTGTACAACCTCGGATCATGACGTATTGCGGGGAAGTGCAGCAAGATCGATCTCGATAGCAGCAGTGCAGCACAACATACGGGTGGATACATTTGTGACACATGCGATTATCCATCCGGACTGCACATGCTTCCGTTATGTCTTTCGCGGTATACACGCATATTTTACCGTTATCTTTAAAGCTGTCGGAATTGCGATAGCGCGTCTAGTCGCGTCGAGACAACACTCTACGGTCAATCAGCGATCTGACAAAAGAATATATTCGTTCTCATGCTGCTGATGTGGTAGCGACATGCGATACCGTGGATCAAATGGCAGAGCTTGTCTCTCCAGTCGTAGTGGGTGGCTGGAAGATAAACTGGAGCGCGTCCAACGGTGACGCGTTTGCGTCTGAGCTTTAGCGCGGCGCTAAGCAGGGCCGATTGCCACGGCTGCTACGCGACATTACACCTACAACACTTGACCTTTTGCCACAACGACGCCCGATATTGACACGATTGGAATCCATCTCTTGAAGATATACATCACAATATATCTTCCAGTGCTGTCTGATGCGGCTTGCCCCCTTAGCCCTCAACCTCCTAAGACGCACGTTCCAGCCAAACGAACGTCCGCAGTTTATCGAATTTCGAAAAGGGTGATTCACGGAGTGTAATGTTTGGACGACTTTTGAACTTCTATACACCAGATGATATTTCCCAGTTATCTCTGTCGGAATATTAGGGTATCGTAGCACTGCGGGCCAGCTCTTGAGTCAGTCTACCGCTCGGGATACTGTGATATCGAAATCGACCCAGAACGTCATTCGATTTTTCCAATCCGTACAGTCTCAGGGACGGTGTGACTCAAAAGCTCTAGCAGGTGCGCCTGGTCGACACTGCTACTCGCAGACATAGAGCATTACGACAACCCCTAGCGCGATGCCCCAAGCGACCACCCGGCCGCATAATTCTTCCGGTATGAACGGAGGTCATCACAAGCACGGTAAAACCATGGAAAAGGACATCTCAAGGCTTGTAGCCGTTCCTAATATCGCTTTCAGGCCAAAAGAGCAGCAAGTTTCACCGACGGACCAAGGTATACCAGAGACTTCCAGGAACAACGATACCTCCGAGAGTGACCCAGCTGACATTGCATGGGATTATGATGTATACGCTGCGCCTTTCGTTCCACCAGGTCTCCAAGCAATCAACACCGAAGTGGCTACTGTCATCAACACAAGACCTAGACATTTGATCGACTTCGAGCAATACGTACATACATTCACCGGAACAAGCTTTGTACCTCCACCCTACGCGGAGCCTGAAGATCACACGATCAGATCAGCAGCGGATTTCCCTACGTCGCTCAATGAGTCTACCTATCTGCAGCACTTCGACACATCGGCTGCCATAGAGCGTATAGCGAAGGAGAACGAAAATGAATCATACGCGATGTATCAAGTCCCACTCTGGCAATACCATCCATTGGACCTGTGGTCCCTACTGGTGCCAGGACTAAGAGAAGACAACCCACACATTGAAATGGGCGACGTGCTTCAGATCCGTCAACTGTATGTTAACGAAACAGGAGCCCTGACGTTGATGCCAAATTATGTGGATGATTACCAATTCGGATACATAGGATCTCCTTCAATAGCATTCAGGCCCTGGACAGGCGTACAGCACAATGCCGCAGTTTTCGGTGTCAACCGTGCGCAAGAAACAGTATATTTCAAAGCAGATGGCCTCTGTCCACCGGTACCGCCCATGCGCATGTTCGCTAACGTCGTCATTCCACTGAAGTTCAACGTCCTCCAAAGCCGGCGAAAAACTTTGGCACACCTCAGCTCCGAGCTGAGACTCGTCGGTTCCTCCCTACGGACATATGGATACCCATCTTCGAAAGGTAGGCTAAATCATTTTGGCGAATCGCCCGGTGTCAAGTATGCCACGCTTCACGCCGACGCCACGAGAGCCGCATCCCACGATTCTCACAACGATTGGAGTCTCCGAATCCTGTTCCCTGATGAAGCTCATGGCGAAGTTCAAACTACACTGCGTAAAGTTCCCCATCGCAAGCTTTTCGATCGCGCTATCAACTACGAACAAGCGCATGCTGTCAACGATATATGTACTAACGTATATGGGACTGTGCCTTACTTGATCAGTGGACCGCCAGGTAAGGGAACAACTCTACGAATTGCATCTAGGACATACACTGATTTGTCATCTTAACCTTAACAGGTACAGGAAAGACAAAGACTCTGGTAGAGACTGCAATGCAACTGTTGAACACTACAAATGTCGCACACATGCTAGTATGCGCTCCATCGGAGGCTGCGGCGGATACACTCGCCCTCAGGCTGAAGGAATATCTCTCACGGAAAGAGCTATTTCGACTCAACCGACCAGGAAGGGCTGATAACGAGGTACCACGAGAGCTGTTGCAGTACTGCCATATCGAAAATGACATGTTCTGTCTACCACCATTCCGGGAGCTCATGACTTTCAACGTCGTGGTTACTTCTTGTCAGGATGCAGCGATACTTGCAGACGCAAGATTGACTAACAATGACCTCTGGACCCTACAAAGGAACATGCAATCAGCTTTCAACCCGGACGATGAATTACCCACCCCGAAACTACATTGGAGTGCCCTACTCATAGATGAGGCCGCTCAAGCTACCGAACTGGACGTCTTGCCAGCCATCAGCATTGTGTGCCCACCATTCACGTATCCGACCTCGTTGCCCCAACCACGCGTAGTGATGGCAGGAGACGAGAAGCAGCTCGGACCACGAACCGCATCCCACGACCTTCGAGTACGCAAGTCGTTGTTCGCCCGGCTTTTCCAACGACCACTATACGAAGACCACCCTCTCTCACGCTCCAAGATCAAGCCATCATCGGGCCCACCAGTACTGAAGCAGTCAATGTTACCAATCACATATCCACCATTTACGCTGTTGGTACGAAACTACCGTTCCCATCCCGCCATCCTCAGCGTACCAAGCGCTCTCTTCTACAACAACACTCTGATTCCAGAGGCTTTACTACCAAACACCCCACTCCAACAGTCCGATCTCTGGCGCGGCCGCAAGTGGCCCGTCCTCTTCATCCCCAACACCGGCCTCGACGAGATCGAACGCGACAACGGCGGCTGGTACAACATATCCGAAGCACGCATCGCCTGCAACCTAGTCGAAAAACTCCATCGCTATTCCTCCGTCAAGCAATCAGATATATGCATCATGTCGCCCTTCGCCGCACAAGTCAAACTCCTGCGTTCGATGATCCGTTCATCTGAGTATGGCAGAGGCGCAGGACTCTGGGACGTCAACATCGGTCCCTTGGAAGCTTTTCAAGGTCTCGAGAAACGCGTCGTTGTGCTAT